TAATAATAATAATAATAATAATAATAATAATAATAATAATAATAATATTTTTCAAAATTTCAATCGGACTCATCCTTTTAATATATGTTTTCTTTTACTCCTGGTCCTTCTTACCTCGGCTCCCTTTCCTTTCCCCCTTTTCTTTGGACAATCCTGCAATGAAGGTGGAATGGTAACTATCATGACATGGTTTGGGAGGTGGGGCCCATTTGACACGTTCACTTGTGCGGAAGCTGTGGCCAGAGTCAACATATCAGACATCACAAGGACATTCGTGGTGGGAGATGCCGAAGCGTTCAATCCGTGCGACACCAGAAATGGTTTAAGAACACCTAGTTCCACTTTTTTTTTTAAAAAAAAGAATTCTACATTCTCTAAAGCAACCGGAAAGAGGCAAGCCAGGTTTTAAATCCATTTCTCCCTTTTTTTGGCTGAGGCTCTTTCCAAGCCTGGAAAGAGAAATGCAAAGTTATGGAGGCTGATGGGAAGAAGAAGAAGAAAAAAACTGGCAGGAAAGAACGCAATGTGGTTTTTTATTTTTGCAAAGTGGGTTTTCCCCGGGCAGAAGAGCACAACCCCACCATACCAGGGAAACAGAAGGAAAATGCTCCAGAGTTAGCCACCCTTTGGAGTGGACATCCGTATCCAACCAGCTCATCAGTCACTGTGCCAGGAAGAGAAGAATCCAGAGGCGGCAGCAGTGCCAGAAGCCTCTTGAAACAAAGAGAGGCATACAGGCTTAAAGACGAGAATGAAAGAAAGGGATGTTTTTTTTTTCAAAGCTGGGTCCATGGGACAGAACAATAGGATGGGTTGTCATTCCCAGTGCAGCTTTACTGCAACTTAAAACAGGAGATGCAGCAGCAGAAGTCCAAGAACCAAAAAAAACTGAAGTTCTCCAAGTTATCTCCTGAGCATAAGTTCTTGGAAAGACCAAGGTTGCAATGGAACAAGTAGCGCGTTAGAAAAGAAATGGAGAGGAGGTTAGTAGCCGTACCGGGTTTCAAAAATCCAAAAGGGTTCACAATATGGCAGAGAGAAGGGTGAGGTTAACGGAACCAGCTGCCACGGATCCAGCTGTTATAAGCCATTACCTTCAGGAGTTGAAGCCTCCCCCGCAGGGCAGGCAGTGCCTCGCTGTTCTTTCTCGCTCCCCTGCGGGTGGGTTTCCTGCGATATTGTACCGTCATCGCTTCCGGATGGACTCCTCTTCCGGAGGCTCCCCTGGACTTCCGGCGGAGTCCACCGAGGGACGAATGTGATCCCTTGGGAGATCAGTTCCTTTAGATAATGCTCAATGACTTCTTTGCCCTGAAAAGAAATAGATTTTTAAGCATCTCACAAACTGCAATTCTCATTTCATCCTATAATGCCCTACAAAATAAATAAATAAACCCTTGGTTTTGGCCCAATGTATTTTAGGCAGACACACTGCAGGGGCGTAAAAAGTAAAGGAATCCCTGAGGATTTTACTCTGCTAGTCGTTGCTGACTGTAGGGGGCGCTGCTCATCTCCATTTCAAGACCATCGAGCCAGCATTGTCCAAAAACATTTCCTTGGTCACATGACCTCACAGAACGCTGTTTCCTCCCCACTGAAGTGGTGCCTATTTATCTACTCGCTTGTTCATGCTTTCGAACTGCTAGGTTGGCAGGAGCTAGGCAAGGACCCCACCTCAAAGCACTCAGGTCTCGAACCTGAGCTGCCGGGTTTTCCAGCTGACAAGCCTAGCGCCTTTCACCCCTGAGCCACCGCACCGCCCACGCTGCAATGCACAGAAGGTCAATATTCACCCGCTTGATGTTGGCAGTGTATTGCTTCATGGCGATTTTCTCCACCGTGTTTTCAAACCCGAAGAATGACTTGATGTCAAGGGATGCAGACTGTTCAAAACACGTCCAATCTTCGTTCTCCGGATGGACCTACCTCAGAGAAATGGCAGTGTGAGAAACCAACCGGGAAGGGGTGGGCTGCTACGGGCTTGCCCGGGTTCAAGAGAACCCATAGCTAATGTTATGGTCGGTTTGGAGAACCACCAAATCCCACTCCTAGCTGGCCCCTCCCATCCCACCCTCTCCCAGGAGTCTCTGTTTCTGGTCTCCGAAGGGCCTCTGGAGCCCGGGGAGGCCGTTTTTGCCCTCCCAAAGGCTCAAGGAAAGCCTGCTGTGGTGCGGAAGGTGTCAGCTTTGGAAGCCATATTGAGACCAGATGCTTCCACACTGCCACATTCTTGAGCCTGGGAAAATGGGAGGGGGGAATTTCTTGGAGTGGATGTGGTTAGACATAATAGCATTCTTCTTCTAAGTCAAGGTCATGTTGTTCCTGCACCTGGGTGAGGGGAAGTCTCAAGTTGGGATGGATGGTGATTGGGGCATGTGATGCAATGATGGGTGCAGGGAGTGGATTTGTAGTTTTTACTTATTGCAAGGAAACCCGGAACTTTCAGATTCGGGATTCCCCAGATATGCCAAGTTCCTATCCAAATAAAACAGAACTTTTGAGAAGATGTCTGTCTCGGAGTTATTTATTGGAGTGGAGGTTTTCTGGAAGGCTGACAGAAGGCCGAATAGGCCACGCCCACCATGGCCACGCCCACCCAGCAACCGGGCAGAGAACCCATTGGTGAAATTTTTTTAAGCCCACCCCTGCAACTGGGTTAGCAATATCTAGAAAAAAAACGTTGAAAAGGAGCTAAGAAGCTAATCACACGCAAGCACACAGTTCCTGGTTTCAAGAACGGACATTTTTATGAATGAGGGATTTGATAGCTGGGGTCATCCAAAATAACACTTCGTTCCAAGCGTCTTTTTCAGGAGGGACCAATAAAGCATGTCAGTAACTGAACCCGGACTTTTGTCGACCCAGCATAAAAAGGGGTATTTTATAGTCTTGATCGCTTCTTAAATGTCAGGAGCAGACAAAGGCAGTCACCTGCTGACCCGAGGACAAGCTTGCAAGCCTGCTTAGCTAAATGGTGGTGGGTTTGGAGCAAATAAGAAAAAAAAATAAAAAAAAATAAAACCAAATATGGAGCCTGGTTTCTGATTTCTAATGGCTTTGTTGGAAGAGAAACATTTTGTAGGATGGACTTTATAAGAGGAAATAGATGGTACGATGTGACCATCTCTCTACTGGTCGATCTAGCAATCTACCCAAACCTATAAATATCAGCAAAACCCTTTGAAGATTGTCTATGGAGATTCTCAGTCATCCAAGTTATCTCAAAGATGTTATTTTTTTTCAAAAGGCAACTGGATTATTTTTTCCAGGAGGAGGAGGAGGGGAGGGGAAGAAGAAGGAGGAGGAGTGGGGAAGGGGAGGAGGGGAAGAAGGA